ACTAAGACGGTGATAGAATGGGTAAGAGTGATAAGAGCAGCTCCAGGGCCAACTTGCACAATGCAAATCTTAGCGCTAAGACTATTGTAAGCCTATGTTAAAGTATGGGAGTTACGATCATCTTAGCGCTAAGATCGCTTTGTGCAAGTGGGCCCTGATCTGTTGTGACTTCGCCCTTCTCTCCTCTCGGATGGACAGGGCATCCGTTTCGTCAATACCTAAATTGTTTGATAGGCATTACTTACTCATCAATACCTGGTGGCATTGTGTGAAGTATATGTTTGTTGTCTAACGCCGCACTCAGCAATATTCAAGATATATGACGGTGGTCTGTAAATAATCGAGTCTGGACCAGACAATCCAGTGATTAATATCACGAGCATCGATCCACGCAATTGGGATGGATGACATGCATCAACCAAGTCAGCGAGCCTGACCACCCGATCCCGTTAGTCGCCTTTTACGACAAGCATAGTCACCTTTTACGGCAAGCAGGGGTTGCTGAGGACCTATTCTACTCCGGAATCTTCACGGGTATTGTGTGAAGTAGTTTCCTAAAGTTTGTACGTATTCATTTATTATTATTTTTTAATATGACTAACATACGGATTGGAACACCCTTGACGTAAATATACATCTTCAAAGATATAGCGATAAACATGCATACTTTTGTCTATAACCCCAGCAAGAACGGTGGGGCAGTATAACTTACCTTTTCGCGAACACCTATTTTCCTCACTATGTGATAATGATTCACGAACACATACTTATTACATGGTCGGAGCTGAACAAAGGACTCTGCTTTCAGCACATATTTCTTATGTGCCCTCGTGAATCATAGATATGTTGGAAAGACGTACCTGTGCGTGAAGAGAACGTTTGTCTGTAAACAGATCGATAACATGTATTCATTACCTTTTCCTAAACCGCGCATTCACCAGACCTTGAAACATAACGCATTGCACCGGAATAATACATATATTACAATGCAATTATTGTGTTCTCAACCCGGATCTTCATGCGATGCTTTAACTACGTATGATAGTTTACCATTTATAAATGTATGCTTCAAAATATACATACAACCTTTGAATCGAAGTTGTAGGGACCAACATAATACTTCGCCACAACCGAAAAATAACTTGGTATACATCTACAGATTCATGAGTAGAATGAATAAATCGAAACATATGCGAGAAACAAACGAGAAAATGAAATAAATAACAATCATTACTTAATTATTCATCATTATTGGCAGTAATGGCGTAGTTAATGAAACATTTGCTGGAAGTAAATGTTTAGGACTGGAAAAATAACTTCGAGACAACCGTAAGCTCGACACATCCGATTCAAAACAGAGGTTAAATAATGATGAAATAAAGAAGGAATACGCAGGGACCAGGCTTTCATTTCGAGACAACCGTAAGTTCGACTCATCAAGTTCGACAAAGGTTTTTGACTGCATTACCGTAAACCAATTATTTGATGTATGGGCCAACATGAGAGAATGGACCGAGGTACCATCGTGGCACATGCATTCTTGAAGCTTAATCCAAGCAGATGCTTGACACAATTCCTTCCCTTCAAATACAGTGACAATGAGGACACGTTATATTCATGAATAGTGTGCGAATGTTGAGATTCGAACTGTGTTATTAATTGTGACGAACCAAAGCGTCCTTTGTCCCTCGCTACGAAGCCGCCGTACTATGAAGACTTACAACCGGTTCTCTTGTACTCTTGAAGGAAGGAGACCGCCTCCGTGGTCTAGTGGTAGAGCGTCCGCCCGGAGAGCGGAAGGTCCGGGGTTCGATTCCCGGCCGCGTCATACCAAAAGACGTTAAAAGATGGTACTTGTTGTGACCCTGTCTGGCGCTCGGCATTAAGGGGCTAAAACAAGGACTGGTCGGCTCGGAGTCAGTATACTGTGTCTGAGTGGGGTATTCATGTTAAACTGCGGCATGGTATCTCAGTGAGCTAGCACTATAAATCGGCATCAGTCCGGACTAGTACAAGCAGCCACACAATCACGAACACGTGCATGCACGTCGCTATATAAGTGCAAGAATCTTGGACGCGACGTTAAACCCCATTTCACCTCACCTCACCTCTTGAACGAAGGACATGTAGCACATGTGATGTCTCCTTTTGCAAATGAATTCGCAATGTTCGCAAATGTTCGAAATATGCCTCTGTTCACCTTGGGAACCCGGTAGGAGGAGATGGTAATGTGACTGTTAACCTTATTGCGCCTCATGGTCAGCTTGGGTTGTATACTCCTCAAGGAGCTGAGAACGCAAATCGAGTGCACACTGATCCATTGACCCGGTAAATAACGTAGCGCTTTAAGCAAGCTTTCGGGCAAGGATTTGACGCATTATTATAATGCGCATTATTATTAACTGTAAGTAACGCAGGGATATACACTAAAAAGGACGAAAGGAAAAGATTTCCAAGATTTAGAATCGTAACAAGGGCCGCAGAGTGTGAGCATAATGTGACCGCCTCGAGGATAATATTGTAATCGGCAGACAATCTTGGTAAGCTTAAACAAAGCCTCCAGACCATATTGAACTTTTCCAAAATATTTGGAGTAGCAGTTCTACATACGTAAGGACCGAGCTGTGTTAGTATGTATAACTGGGGAATCATCGAATATCTCCACGAAGAACGTGTAATGTCGACAACTGATACTTTATAGGTCACATTTTGAACGATAATAAATATTTTCCCGCATCTTTGTCTATCTTTAGCACTATCACATGCTGAATCTTTGGAAAACCTATAACAAGAGAAATAATCTGATAAACCGTTGGAGATACTATTCTGGAAAAGGTCAACTGCATGTCGTGGAGAAAACGTCTCTTCAGCTCATAAATACTTCATGTTGTTTTAGTCCATTTATTTTGAAATTAATGCAATTTCCAAGGGAACCATATATATGACGACGCTATTCAAAATCAATGTGTCTTACTAGCAGGAACTGAAGAAATTGGCGGAGGTTTTCGTCGATGAGCAAGTTAATAGACAGAACGCTTGAGGTTTATTTTCGATAAATATATTTGTAATCAATAAGTTTGAAGATATAAACCAGTTTGAACTCATTTTCAGAGCCAGTTCTCAAAATAATCCTTTTAAGAGGAAGGAAAAAATTCAAGGAAACATCACGTTGAGTGATATTAGTTTTGAATGCAAATACAGTTCCATTTTGTACAGTTCGATAAATATTTAATGAAGCTATACTCTTTTAGCAATTACCACAAGACAATATTTGCAGAACGAGCCACTGTTGTTTCCAGGAGAACTTTTATACTTATGAATTGCAAAGTCTGTATAATTTCAGTGTATAATGTGTGTATTTATGATGACATTTTACTCCAATGTTTGTTACAAATAAGAAATTAAATATCATAATACATAATGTAAACAGAAGGTTTGGTTAACACAATATATTAAGGATCCTATACGTGTGTAGAAGCTGTTCGCGCTTTGCTGGGACTATTTCTGATTTGTTCGATTGGCATTTCTTACAAGTATATTAAAGTTGTTATCAATAAACTTTGTGTCAATGTTGCAACTATTTCCGAAAATGATTTAATCTAACGGGCTTTTACGTCATACTTAATACAAGTTATGCGTACAGGTTATGTGATGACCTCTTTGCCTTCATTGTACAACTACATGGAAATATATTAAAAATTTATGTATATTATGCTCTCAGAATCCTTTGTCCGCGACCCATGTACAATCATTCCTTCTGTAATTTGTGTCAGTGTGAATTATAGTGTCAGTGTGAATTACCTATTTTAATACTTCGATCCAGGGCGAACAATTCCATTCAACACAACAATAAACATTGACGTCGATTACAAAGACACAAATAACACTTCGGCGAACCTTTAACTAACGGGAAGCAATGCCAAATATTAATGAGGTATGATGAAAATTTGATAAGTTGTTATTAGTTGTGTTGAAGAACCTCAATCAGCATTTCATATTTAATCCTATAATAAAGCAGTCTGCATGAATATTTCATTCAGTTCATTTCTCAAGTTTATCTTGTGAGGCAAGTTATTCTAAGCCTACCAAGGCATACTTCTAACGAGAACATGGAATGTCAAGAAATTGCCGAAAGATATGATATAATCCTGCTAATCTCAACACTGCAACGGAACGTTTCTATTTGCTCCTCGTGGAGTTCGTAATCACCTTATTACACAACTTAAGAGCATTCTTGAATTGATTTCGTTTTCAGTCAATACTATTACATTTCCATCTGCAGATGATAGTGGGCAGCCTTGCTCCATTCAGTCGAATTCGAACATGTTACCTGATTGTTAAATTGACATAGGCATGGCCCATTGCGGGTGCTAAATCCTATGGGTAAGTATTGGTCGTAATGTCACCCAAGGCTTAGGGTCCTTACATGTTTTCCAAATCCAACTTTCTTGGCAAGTTCAAGTTCTTTTGCCAAGGTTCTTGCAGCCAGGGTGACTCTCATACTAATAGCATAATTATATTCAAACCAATTGCATTTGTTTTCGTAACTAGTTCTTAAAAGGGAAACTGCTGAGGCCCATTCGAACACATAGAGGACTAAAACAGTTCAACAATGATGTAAGCCTGTGTCTGGTCGTGATACAATTACCATTCTGGTAACGGAATAAATGCATTAATACTGAAAGCTGCGTGACACTATCGTGTTCGTGTACAGGCTGAAATCTTCAGCAACATATCTTATAGAACAGTAAAACCAGTCAACGAGCACATAGTCAGACATGCTACTTTGTATTATTCGTTGAACACCAAACTAGCCTCTGCACTACTAAGAGTGGGTGGGCTGACGGGGGGTTCTAGTTTGCACATGATATCCATACATCAGAACAGGAGCTTTCTGTCAACACAAAGGCAATGTCATATGCAGGGATGATTATTGTGAAAGGAAATGATATAGAACATTGCATATACCAAGACATTTCACATAAAGCCATTTCACTTACCTTCAAACTTGTCTTGTCCACTATGTCTAAGATGGGGCATATAAAAGGTCTTCCTTTCGCAAGTGTCTGTGTTCGCAAGGTGTGTATCATAGGTAGAAGGTGAAGTTAGAGTGAGAAAGAAATGAATTCTATCAGTCTGCTGTAAACGCTTCTGTTTCAATAAAGGGGAATATAATCTTCAAACTGTTTCACAAATGCAGTCCTTCTAGTATCGTTAATATATATCCAATGGAAGTATCACGTATGTCCTCAAAATGCTGAAACAGTTGCTTTGGGGCTTCGTCGCTGTGCAAACTCCCACCTAAGCCTACGAGAAATACACATAATCAGGTATTAGAGAATGTCAAGAAGAGAAGATTTAAAGTACTCCAAAGTCCAACCGGCGCAACTTTCGAAACCGTCCTCTGCTTGCTCCGGTATAGTTTTTTTTCCACCAAGACAACACTCACACAACGAGTGTCATAAACGGCAGCATCGCCGATACTACGCCAGCACCGCCCTGCGAGGCAATGTTCTTTTATTGAATAGAACAACTTGATAAGAAGCTTCCAACCAGATAACGTTGGGACACCGAGCCGCTTTATTGAATGACAGCCGGTAGTCTATAGACGGATTTCAGAACATCACTCGGAGCAACTGCTTGCTTTGCCGATGTCCAACAGAAACGAGTATCGCTCTGCCGATGCGCTACTGGTCTGCAGTAAGGTATGCGCGAGTCGCTCGTTGTCCCTGTGTGTAAATAACAGTCGTTGGAGGTTGTTGTGTCACCTGTGGGGCCTATTCCATGTATCACGCAGTGAATACCACATGGCACCAAGAACGTGTAAAGTAAGCGCACATTGTGCCTACAATCAATTATGTTCACTACACAGGAAGGTTCTGTACTTGTAGCAGTCAGGGACAGATAGCACCTTGTTACACCCACCTCACAGTGGTAAATGGTAGGAAATCTAGAGTCGGCGTAAGTGGAACATTGAACAGCGTCAATGAAGCAGGAAACTGCTATAAAAGCCGATATGTTAACATTATACGCAAACCGTTTCAGTATCATAGCCTGCTGTTACTTAAAGGGCCCACTTGTAACGGGTTGTAGGATGTGCAAGTAGTTCAGCATTGCGTTTAGGCCACAAGTGTTACGAGGTGATGCGTCATGAGATTGTAAGGTATCGCTCTGTAATTAGCAACGAGTGAATTGATTCCATACCACTGACAATTAACTTAAGACGTTGTATCGACTGTCTGTCGAGAAGGCATTAGTAGGGATCATATTTGTATTTCATTTGACATTTGTATGATTGTGTCATCTATATTCTGAAAAAAACCCACTTCAATACGACTTTGGACGTCTCTTTCTCCCGGAATGTAACTGAAGTCTTGAAACAGAGCCAGATAACGATAAGCAAGACAAAGGTGGAATGTTATGTATGGCATATATCGTTTAGGAAATGGTAGCTCGTTAGTGATGCTGATAGATGTTCAAGTTCAAGTGCTGTGCTGATACACTCTGTTTAACTCAAGATGTAAATCGATACTTACAGTAATATGGAACATGTTTCTGCCATACACTAAGTATTACTGACTGAACGGAAATATGAGTTTGGAATTTGCAGATCCGTGGCTTACTCTAAGAGGTAAAACTGATCTAAGACCTCAATAGATTAGGAGTGGTTTCTGAAGCGTTCGGGTAGCTCAGTGTTCGGAGGTGCTTCGATTCAGTTAAGTCTCTAAGCTGTGCAAGGACCCTCTGGTCATGGGTTCAATTCCTAGTTTGTGATTTCAGGGTTTGTTCCGCTATGCTGGTTGGTCGGTCAGTATATTACATGTGATCTCGTTTCATTGAGGTGCTTAAAAGCCCAAATGAGCGTCACATATTTGTTTTGTTTTTAAGGAGCTAAATTTTGATAGCATACCACATATCTGGGCCTTAAGCACTTGTCTGAGCTAAGATTATGTGCAACATACGGAAGTTAATGGGGAAATCGAAACTGAGATATCGTCAGATAGTACACCACCATACACGTCACAGTCAACAAACCATCGTGATGACGTCACGCTATTGTTGCTGCCGTTGATTCTGAGGCAGGATTTCTCTGGCCATTCTAAACATGCATTTTGTGCAAGTAGAACTGACGCAACTTTTGGTCATGTTGCAAAATTATATTGAAATTACATATCAACGATAGCATGGTTTAAGTTTATTACGTAGTAAATGAGGGATGGTAAACAGTCAAGTCTGAACTCGACAGAGGGATGTGGATTCCATTAGCGGCTATTAACGACGTCCGAATATAGAAGGGGACGTACCGGTCCGGTTACACATTTAACCACCCGATCCTTAATAAAGCATAAGACCCTTGAGACTTATAATTTTTCCCTGGAATCGCCAAGAAGCCTTTGTATTGCGAGTCAGCGCCATGACGTTTATCATTATCATCAAGATTTACCCCAAGTTCTCTGTCCCGTGCTTAGCTCACTTATACCAAATTAGGTGGGGGTTAAGAGTAGTGTGCTGGGTGACTGGATATCTTCTGACAGACATTACCTTAGTACCCACACTGAATTATGGTTCATGGAAAATGTTTTGTCCTCTTGGACATTGTCTCTGTCCACATATTGTTAGCTCCCCAAAACTAGATTCATATTAGGATGACATGTAAATGTGAAAACAAATCGTACATTGGGCAACTTGGTGTTCATGATCCCCATGGAGCTGAGAATGCAATGATACGTGTACTGTGTACTGATGAGTTGTATGGGAAAAACGCTATTCAAATGAACATGTTATTGTTGTTGCAGCTGGAGCAAAAACGACCCCGAATCGATAGTAATCCAGCCTGATACCACAGAATCAATCACAACCTATCTTCCCCATCTATACGCTGGACTCGTTTTAGTGTACGTCCCTGTTCTCAGCATGGGTCGAGTCTACATGTAATACAGGGTACTCCAGTCTCTCACCCTCCCTCCGGTTATCAATGGTGTATCCCTAAATATCCCTGATAGTTAATAAAACCCACCTGCCATTGCTGACCCTGTTGTCAGTAACAGTGGTTGAAATGGGGTTTTATAAAAAGGGCTAGGACTAAAAACAATTTACAAACTATTTACATGTCATCAGTTCCTTTAAAATCACATTTCCAAGAAACACCCATCAAGTGACAAAATGACTTCACAACAGCGGTTCATTATAAGACTCCCTTTGAAGCTCAAGCTTAAAGTTTGAACATATCTTACACCATACAAAATCAATAAATAGAACAAGGCCACGTTTTGGCAAACATTAACAGGACGCCCATTTCATAATTATTAGGGAAAAGCATGATGGTAAATTGCTGGGTAAAAAATAAAGACTGTTGTATTCGACCCACAACAAGATTCCCCTAGTTTCCAGTTCTTATGAGACTGCGACGTGAAGGTGTTATTGAGCGAGTACATCCGTCGTCATCGTCGGCAATCCTAAATATATTTGTGCATGCAGTGATCTCTCCGGTTTTGATGAAGCGACCGTACCAGTAAGTACAATTAATTGCTCTTTCTTCTTCTCGTCTTGAGAACCTTGTCATCTGGACATTGATCTGCATTATATGAATGGATGTTTGATGCCCCTGAATATGTACTTTTGTAGATAGAGGGTTATATTATTATGACTTGACTTGATTAGTTCATATTATCTTTTTTGTTTTGAAATAGATGTGTGGCATGATGTATGTGTAGATGGCCGTATTCCTTCTGTCATCAACCATTCTCCGTAAGGTATGCAAGTAGGTGTTTAAAGGGCGCTTCAGGTACTTCAGTCACTTTTTGATGCTAATTGTGTTGGTGGCGGGTGATGCATGCTTGCACTTTTCGCGATGACCTGGCGTCATAGCTTTAGTTTTAGCAACCCTTTCGTGTAGCTGTCGTGGCTTTTTTGTCTTTGCGCACAAGACCGCCTCCGTGGCCAAGTGGTAGAACGTCCGCCCGGGGAGCGGAAGGTCCGGGGTTCGATGCCCGGCCGCGTTATACCAAAAGACGTTGAAAAGTGGTACTTGCTGTTACCCTGTCTGGCCCCCGGCTCGGAGTCAGTATACTGTGTCTGAGTGGGGTATTCATGTTCATCTGCGGCATGCTATCTCAGTGTGCTGGCACTATAAATCGGCATCAGTCCGGACCAGTACAAGCAGCCACTCACACACACGTGCATGCACGAAGTTAAACCCCATTTCATCTCACTTTTTCGCCCAGTGGAGATTGTTTCGGCGGTTGGTTGAGAATGGTTGTTCTCAGGGCGTGTCAGCACATCGTGGAGGAGGATGTGGGCTACTACATATTACGTGAACAGCATAACGGACATGATGCTGACAGACCAATTGTGGTAATGGAAGCGAATCCGGGAATCACATCTTCGAACTTCAGCGGATCCTGACATTCATGGAGCGTTGGAATGAGTTTGTTTGTTTGTTTGTTTGTATATAGAAATATTCCAGCTATATGACGGCGGTCTGAAAATAATCGAGTCTGGACCATACACACCTGTGAGTGACATCATGAGCGTCGATCAACGCAATTAGGGTACGATGACATGCATCAACCATGTCAGCGAGCATGACCACCCGATCCCGTTAGTCGCCTCTTACGACAAGCAAAGTCGCCTTTTATTGCAAGAATGGGTTATCTATATATAAAGAGTGACATATATTACCCCGGATCTTCACGGGTCTCTGGAATTAGTGGCATCATTTCGTACTTGATGTATATATTTTCCAGGTTACAATATGGCACTTTAATGTGCTTATTTTTTCGCTATGTTCCATTGAGTTAGGTCCCTTTGTTGGTCGTCGTGAGACTGTGATGTGAGGATGTTATTGGGCGTTGTTCGAATCCCAGCTACTCTTCGGTTATGATCCTTTCGTTTTCAGCACCACATGTTGTTGGTGGTTTCATCAAAGTGGTTCACGTCTATGGCCTGTTTCACATTTGCATTTCCTACCACAATGACCAGACTGCTAAAATTGACTTGCGTGTCCCGCGCCCGCACCAATATTTGTATTGTCTTAGATGTATTGTCTGTTTCTTACCAATACAGAAAACAAATTTATATTTATAATATCTGTTTCGTTACGATGGCGGTAATAACTTTATTCTGCTGATTCTTGACGCATTCATGTGTTACTATTATTATTGATTTAAAATACAAATAGAAAGTATTTAATCAGGCATGTCATACTGATAAAATATTATTATAATTATCAAACTATTAAAAATTATTTTGTAAACAATTATAACAAATTCAATGTGTTTACATGTACATGTTATTGTTCATATCTTTGTGTGCATGACAACTACGTTAAATGCAACGTGATGCGGATCCGGAATGATTAAATTAAGTGATAGACAGCTGTCACTTGGACAGTATTTCAGCCAAATAAGAAAACATCCCCGGGAAGTATGGCCTATGTGACAGAGACATGTAGAGGCCAGACTAAGAGTATAGCCCCAAAACAACCTGTGCTTGTATTAATTGACCAAATGAATCGGGTGGTCTCTGTGATTTGCTTGATTGCATGTTATTTATCCTAATTGCGTGAATCGATGCTCGTGCTCAATCTCTGGATTGGGCCCAGACCCAATAATTTACGTTCCGCGGTCATATATGGGATATGATTGAGAGGGGCGTAAGCAACAAACGAGTCTGGACCAGACAACCCAGAGATCGATATGGTGAGCAACGATCACCGCCGTCGGGATACAATGACTCGCAACCAACCAATTCACCGAGCCTGACCAACCGAGCCGTTTGGTCGCCTTACGACCATATAGGTTAAGGGCGACCTTACCTCTAATTGTGGGCTTTCCTCCCACATTAAACGTACGCACCGTGTAACTAGAATACTGTTCAAAGCGGCGTGAAACTCAGCTCACTCACTCACTATTGGAAACTAATGTGTTTTACCCTTTTGCGCACTGAAAGCTACCTTGTGTGGGTAATTGATAGCAAAGCAATAAAT